CACCTGGAGGGCCCAAGTTTGCACATACCTGATCTCGGATATATGGCGGAGAAAATGCCTTGCAAAGGATCTTATAAAAGGGGAGTGATTTTCAAAATCCGCCCCAAATCGTTCTGTGTTTACATTGCACCAGGTTCTCCTTTTGGGAAAAGACAACTCATCCATTTGGCTCCCTAAAAATAAGCAAACCAGGTAACTTCATGTTGAGGCTCGGCTCGTAAACACCCCTGAATCTCTCTCTCAGACCTGCACAAGTGACCAGAAGACAGCAGCAGAGGTACACCTTCAAACCTGGATTTCCCCCAAAGTGCGGCATCGTCCACTCCACCCAAAGGGATCCTACGTCTTCTTCAGGCCGGCATGCTGTTTCCTTCCTGGAAGTCCTCCGCCCAACCTTTCAAGGGAAGCCCCAGAGTTGACAGCAGCAGCACATCATCATCATCATCACCCCAAAATGCAGAATCCCAAAATGGCTTCCAAGCCTCAACAAAGCCTGAAGGATCAGACTAATCCAATCCAGCCCCTGGAAAGCTCCCATTGTCAGTCAGGGCCAGACTTTGAATTTATTGGACCAAGCCGCTTGTGCCTGCCCACACGGGTTAACCCCTTGGTACCCTCTCCAAACACACACAGGGTTTTAGTTATAGTGATGCGTTTCCATGGAGTTTTCGCACCCCCTTTTTTGTATTTAAAGCCACACGAAGCCACAGTTTTGGAAAGAGAATTCTTCCACTCCCACTTCCACTCCCACTGAATGCTTCGGTTGCTTTCCTGTCCTAGAGAGCCTGCAAGAGCGGCTGTTTACAATGTGTACTTGTCTGAGATAGATAGGGAGATAGACAGAGAAGAAAGGAAGGAAGGAATGAAAGAGGTAGAGAAGGAAGGAAGGAAGAAGAGAAAGAGGAAGGGAAGGAAAAAGGGAGGGAAAGAGGGAAGGAAGGAGAAAAGAAAGGAAGGAATGAAAGAGGTAGAGAGGGAAGGGTGAAAGAGAACGGAAGGAAAAAGGGAGGGAAAGAAGGAAGGAAGGAAGGAAGGAAGGAAGGAAGGAGAAAAAAGAAAAGAGGGAAGGAATGAAAGAGGAAGCAAAGGAAGCAGAGAAGGAAAGAAGGAAGGAAAGAAGGAGGGAGACATAAGAAAAGGAGAGAAGGAGGAAGAGAAAGAGGGAAGGAAGGAGAGAAGAAAGGAAGGAATGAAAGAGGTAGAGAAGGAGAAGAGAAGAGGAAGGAAAGAAAAGGGAGGGAAAGAGGGAAGAGGAGAAAAGAAAGAAGGAATGAAAGAGGTAGAGAGGGAAGGGAAGAGAAGGGAAAGAAAAGGGAGGGAAAGAAGGAAGGAAGGAAGAAGGAGGAGGAAGGAGGAAAGAAGGAGGAAGGAAGGAAGAAGGAGAAAAGGAAGAAAAAGAGGGAAGGAATGAAAGAGGAAAGGAAAGAGAAGGAAGAAGGAAGGAAGAAGGAGGAGAAAGAAAAGGAGAGAAGGAGGAAGGAAAGAGGAAGGAAGGAGAGGAAGGGAGAAAGAGAAGAAGGAAGGAAGGAAGGAAAGAAGGAGGGAGACATAAAAAGGAAGAGAAGAGGAAGGGAAAGAGGGAAGGAAGGAGAGAAAAGGAGGAAGAAAGAGGAGGAAGAAGGAAAGAGAAAGAGGAAGGGAGAAAAAGGGAGGAAAGAAAGAAGAAAGGAAAGAAGAAAGAAAGGAAGGAGAGGAGAAAGGAAAGGAAAAAGAGGGAAGGAAAAAAGGGAAGAGAGAGAAGAGAAAAGGAAAGAAGGAAGAGAAAGAAGGAGAAGAAAGAGGAAGGGAAAGAGTGAAGGAAGGAAGAAAGAGGAAGGGAAGAAAAGGAGGGAAAGAAAAAAGAGGGAAGGAAGGAAAGGAAAGGGAAAAGATACCCACAGTGCTAGAACTCTAGAATCAATTGAAGAAGGAAAGAGCATAGGAAAGGATTAGAGAAAAAGAAGGAAGGAGAAAAAGAAGAAAAAGAGGAAAGGAATGAAAAGTAGGAAGGAGGAAGGAGAGAAGGAGAAAGAGACCTGAAATAGAAATGATGAAGTTCGAAAAGAACAAATTAAATATGGAGAGCATAGTATAATGTAAATCGGGAAGTCAATGAGAGAATACACTTAATTAATTTAATATTTATATAATGAAGTAAGAATTACCTTTAATTAAAAAGATAATTTAAATATGAAGGAAGGAGAAAAGGAAAGGAAAAAGAGGGGAGGAATGAAAGCGGAAGGGAAGGAAGGAGAGAAGGAGGGAGACATAAGAAAAGGAGAGAAAGAGGAAGGGAAAGAGGGAAGGAAGGAGAGAAGGAAAGAAGTAAGGTAGGAAAGAGAAAGAATGAAGTAAAGAGACATAGGAAAGGATGGAGAGAAGGAGGAAGGGAAAGAGGGAAGGAAGGAGAGAAGAAAGGAAGGAAGAAGAGAAAGCAGGAGGGAAGGAAAAAGGGAGGGAAAGAAGGAAGGAAGGAGAAAAGGAAAGATAGATAGGGAGATAGACAGATAATAATACACCCACAAATATATATGCAAACACACAAATATACACAAATATATACACACAAACATATGCATATGTGCACACACAAAATACATATACACCAGTATTAAAAAAACTCTAAAATTAAAAAACCAGTATTAAAAAACTCTAAAATTAAAACAGCAAAACAGCAGAGGGAGAACAATCAGGGACATCTAATCACCTCTCAACAAAATATTGCTCCAGGCACTGCCAGGCCATCAAATCCAGTTCCGAACACAATTCAAAGTGCTGGTTTTGACCTACAAAACCCTATACGGCTCCGGCCTAGCGTACCTGTCTGAACGTATCTCCTTCTACATCCCACCTCGGAGTTTAAGATCTGAGGGGGAGGCCCTGCTCTCGGCCCCACCTTTATCACAAGCGAGACTGGTGGGGACGAGGGACAGGGCCTTCTCGGTGGTGGCCCCTCGCCTTTGGAATGCACTCCCGGAGGAGATTAGGACAGCAACATCCCTCCTCTCGTTCAGAAGAAAGCTAAAAACTTGGATGTGGGACCAGGCCTTCGGGTAAGCTGGCAAATGGACAAAGACAACCAATGACAACCAGAGTAGGAAAGGATAATGACAATGCTAGATGGATTACGGACTATGAATTGATGAACATTGATCACAAGATGATTTTATTGCTGCTAGTATATTGTTTGACTGTTTAATTAGTTATAATCGTTGATATTATATGGTAAATTTGTGTATTGCATATTGTATTTTGTATTGTATTTTGTGAATTGTTGGGCATCGAATTGTGCCTTTTTTGTAAGCCGCCCTGAGTCCCCCCCCAGGAGGTTGAGAAGGGCGGGGTAGAAGCACTCCAAATAAATAAATAAGTAAATGCTAATCAAGGTGGTCAGTTGAAACATTCCCACCTAGCTCCAGCAGACAAGAAGTCCTTTGTCCCACCCTGGTCATTCCACAGATATATAAACCCTTTTTCCTAGTTCCAACAGACCTCACTACCTCTGAGGATGCTTGCCATAGATGCAGGCGAAACGTCAGGAGAAATGCCTCTAGAACATGGCCATATAGCCCGAAAAAACCTACAACAACCCAGTGATTCCGGCCAGGAAAGCCTTCGACAATACAGTGTTTAGAGTGGGTCCAGTCAGAATGAAGTAGAATAATCTGTATTAATAAAAATGTAATGTTTGTTTGTGGGATTAACATAACTCAAAAACCACTGGATGAATTGACACCAAATTTGGACACAAGACACCTCTCAGGCCAACGAGTGACCATCACTCATAAAAACACTGAAAAACACAGTGGAAGAGACTTAAAAGCCAAAAAATTAAAAAAACAGATTACAACACATGCGCAAAACCAACTACACACACACACATATATATACACACAAAACATATACACAGACTGGGCCACAGCAGCATGTGGCCTCAAGGGAGCGTGCTTGCTCCATTCATGTTTCACATTTGCACAAATGACCCATCTTCTGCTCGGATACCAGCCAGCATGCCAATGAATTAAACCAAGAAACAGCTTCCTATGATCCTCAGAGAAACTCGCAGGAACACCTCAGCAAGCAAGAGTCCAAAAGTGGCAGGCTAAACCTGGAACCTCAAGCCATATCTGATACCAAATGAGAGACTCCCCCCTGGGCACACAGAAGACTGGGCGACTTGGAAGGCGCTGAACAGACTGCGCTCTGGCACCACGAGGTGCAGAGCCAACCTTTGGAAATGGGGCCACAAAGTGGAATCCTCGACATGCGAGTGTGGAGAAGAGCAAACCACTGACCACCTGCTGCAATGCAACCTGAGCCCTGCCACATGCACGATGGAGGACCTCCTTGCGGCAACACCAGAGGCACTCCACGTGGCCAGATACTGGTCAAAAGACATTTAATCAACTACCAAGCTTGCAAACTTTGTGTTTTGTTTGTTTGTTTGGTAAATGCACAATGGATGACATTTTCACAGCAACACCAGAAGCACTCCAAAGTGGCCAGCTTCTGTTCAAAGAAATTTTAGTATAATGGCAAGTTTTTAACTTTGCTTGTGGTTTTTCTAAACATTATAACTGTATTTTCAATTTGCTTTGGACACAATAAATCTATATAAATAAAAATATAATGTTCGTTTGTGGGATTCACAGAACTCAAAAACCACTGGACGAATTGACACCAAAATTGGACACAAGACACCTAACAACCCAATGTATGTCCTCCACTCAAAAAATTGATTTTGTCATTGAGAGTTGTAGTTGCTGGGATTTATAGTTCACCTATAATCAAAGAACATTCTGAACCCCACCAACGATGGAATTGAACCAAACTTGGCACACAGTTCTCCCACGACCAACAGAAAATACTGGAAGGGTTTGGTGGGCAGTGTCCTTTGGTTTTGGAGTTGTAGTTCACCTACATCCAGAGATCACTGTGCACTCAAATAATGATGGGTTGGACCAAACTCTACATGAATACTCAGTATGCCCAAATGTAAACACTGGTGGAGTTTGGGGAAAATAGAATCTTGACATTTGGGAGTTGTAGTTGCTGGGATTTATAGTTCACCTACAATCATAGAGCATTCTGAACCCCACTAACGATAGAATTGGGCCAAACCTCCCACACAGAACCCCCATGAGGGCCACAGCAATGCGTGGCAGGGGACGGCTAGTAAATAAATAAATAGCAAAGTCACGTCAAACATTATGGAAGTCGCTATTTTCGGTTTGCCTGCATATAGCAAATTATGTATTTATTGAGCAAAGATCAGTGTGCCATCTTGTCATACTGTCAAATTATTTTTTAATCACTGTAACATATTTCTCTTTATGTACACCACTATTATTGGACACTGTGAATTGGCGACTTGTAAGCACAATGATTCACAATATATATGTTTTCACACTTGGTGGTGCAAGTTGCCTCCATGTAAATACATTCAATATAAATTATTTTCTTTGAAATCAAGTTATTGCTCATCTTCTTTGCATAATCACAGATCAATAAAAAACAGAGTACATTAAGGCCAGTCTTTTCTCACTGGTTAATGGAATACTCCT